CGTAGTTGTCTAAGAGTTGTCTGGTTTTGTTGACCACAACTCTGGGCACAGATATAGTCATCGATTGTATGTCTATATAGTTATCGCATATTAATTGTATATCGGATTCACTTTTGGCCTAAAAATGTCAAACAATTTGTCAATCAATTGATTAATCATTTGGTCATTGATTGCAAGAAAACACTTACTTTCGTGAGTAATAAAAGTGAATCAAAGTCTATATTATTGGCCATTATTTGCCGCACAATTGGTGTTTGTTTTACATTAAGTGCTTAATTGTCACTCAAATGGCAATCAAATGTCAAAACTTTTATTTACAAAACTTTGAGTTTTGTTGTTGTGTTGAAAAACACAAACTATACGCATATAATGTAACACTTTTAGGGGGGAAATTCTGTGTGAAAAGTTGTGAAAACTAACCAGTGTCTATTTAATTTATGTCTAAAATTTAGACTCTAAATCAATGAATTTAGGAATTGAAGGACTGGTAGTCGACGAGACATTCAGAATAAAGTGGTAAAACATGGATATCATCCAAACATCCAAATAAAATATGGATTTAATAATTAACGAGTGATTTGTTTGATAAAGAGTGCGAGAAATGAGAGAATGAATGCATTGAAGGCTATAAAAGAGACTCTCATTTGACATTCACTTCATTTAGTGCTCAATAAAAGTTAACGAGTAAGAATCTTAAATTGAAATTTACATCAAATGAAATCATTTCTGTCATATCATAACTTAATTGCTGTATACATGAACTGAACAACAGTTACAAATCAGCAGTTTTAGAAATTCTGGTTAAATATATGATTAAAACCTTTTCGTCAAAACTCTACCGAATTCTTATGTATTTGTGACATATTTTCGAAGAAGTGTTCAAATAATTGCTTTTGATATTCACTTTCGCTTTACACTCTCATTGAGAATCCAAACAAATATTTATTGAATGATTAGATTATTCCTCATTAAAGATAGCCTTGAATTATATATTAATTTAGCCAATAATGAGATTAACTTCAATTAAGTGCTTGTCATTAATTGAATGAAACATAAAATGTAGATATAATGCAAATGCACACAAAAATTTCTCCCATTCGTGGGGAAGTCATGGCAAACAAAGTGTCGTCGGAGCCTAACGTTAAACAACTTTTGCTTGAATGCCGTGAGGCTATCAAAACAGCTTATATCCCGTACAGCAAGTTTGCTGTCGGGGCCGCCGTCGAGACTATTGACGGTGTCATATATAGAGGTCTTTATTAATTTAATTTCTAATATAATATAATTTTAAAATTCTAACAAATATTGTGTTTATTTAATCGACAAATAGGCTGTAATATAGAGAACGCGGCCTATACTGGCTGTATATGCGCTGAACGTACGGCGATGTGTAAAGCCGTGTCCGATGGCATCACTCAATTCAAGGCGATAGCCATTACATCCAATATGCCGGCGCCTGATCTCATAGTACCCTGTGGTACGTGTCGACAGTTTATTCGCGAGGTTAGACTCATTTGAATACAATTGATCAGTCATTTGTGAATAACATTTCTTAATAATTTAGTTCTCAACTGATTTGACGATATATTTGGTTAGACCTGATCTCACATACGAGAAGACATCGTTGGAAGCATTGCTTCCGAAATCTTTTGGACCACAAGATCTGGAGAAAGGGGTCGGAAAGTAAGTGCTGAGAGAGATATAGAGAAGATCCAGGGATATAAATGTAGTACAATCTATGATTTTGTGGTCAATTTAATAGTATTTGGATTATAGTTCAAACTTTTACCAAAATAAAGTAAAACATAATCATTTTATTTACATTTTATTTATTAATTATAATAAGTTATATATAAATTAAACCAATTTAACAAATAAATCATGTCTTATAAGAAATATAGAAAATTAAAGATCAAGCAATTAGTTGAGTGAAAATCAACAATAATTTTTTCAATTTACTTTATGATTTGTTTAAATTCTTAATATAGTAATAATCATTAAGTACAGTATTTATAATTTGTATAAATACCACATGTAATGTATATAATCTGATTAGAAAACAATATAAAACAGATTTTAATTCAAATCTGATTCTTGAATTGATTTATTTAATAAAAATATATAACAAACTATAGACTACTTGTGGTGTGTCTCACCAGAAGGGACACCAACCGATATAACACTGACACAGGTTCTCGTGGGAGGTGGCCTGTCGTATGAGTAGGTCTACCTGTTCAGGCACTTCGAGTGTCAAGTGGGCCTCAAAGTCACGTCCCGTCAACTTATCGCGCACTCTGTTTATAACGGCCAACGCTTTCTTATTGAGTCCTTCGTGCGGAAGACCAGTGCTCTCAGCGATGCCACCGATTGTGGAACTGGAGGTCGAAAGGGGCGGCTTCTTAGAAGCGGACGCGGCGTTCAGTGCACCGCCGACTGCGCCCTCGTCTTCGTCCAAGAGGTCAATCGAGTGCTTCAACTTTGGTTGAGCTGTGAATCCAAACAAATACACGAATCGACTGTTATTTTCGACACTAAAACAACAATTCATTCAAACCTTCGATGAGTTTCCACGAGAAGATGGGGTCGTGAATGAAGGCCTCGAGTACTGCCATCAGAGAGTCCTTGTTATTACGTAAGACTCGCATCACTTTCTCGCAGGTTATGCGATACGTGCCCTCAATTCCGGTCACTTCCATCGCATTGATTAACATTCGCGTCAATCTATTCAATCAAAACATTTATACTAATTGTCACAAAACAGACCACAAATACAAATCCATTACCGGAAGGGTATCTTTTCGGGGAACTTCTCGCGAGTCATCGCCACTTCGAAGCAGTCGCCGAAATCGATGTGCAATATTTTGCCAGACATTCGGTCTAACATCAGATTAGACGGGTGTCTGTCACCCAAACCCAACACATAGCCAACGATTGACATCACAGACAGACTTCTCGTATAATTGGTTCGCCGATCAAACCACACCTCAGATGACGGGCTCTTAAGCCATAGGAGTTTCGCCAAATCGTCGCCATTGGTGTGCTCTAAGGCGTGTTCAAAGACCTCGACCTTCTGGAGTAGAGTCAAGTGGTCGTAATCGGGCGCCATTCGCAACATCACCCGGTGCTCGATGTTCAACAAAATCTTCTTCTTCTCGCGATAGTCCCTAATGAGTGTATGGAGTGTATCGCAGTGCGGGACCCAACCTATCAATCCAGAGTTGGGCGACAATGGGATCACTGCGTAGCGCTGTATTGCTATTTAAACAATAGATAAAACATTAGTTAACACAACGTATGACTGAAATGTCAAATGAGACCAAACTATACCTAAATTTCGTTGCGATGTCTCGGGGTCTCCGGTGAGCAGAGTGTTGACTAAACCGAATAACTGCATCACCCGCTCGTCCTGACGCAGGTCTTCGTGGCCTTTCAACAGAAACATGTAATCGCGTCCGTCGCTGCCTTTAATGGACAGCTTTCGCGGCCGTTGTTTACTTGTTATCACATTTAATTGCGGCTCAACTTTGGCGATACGGATAAGCGGTTGGTTCGGGTTGTAAGAGCCGGGCACTGCCAGCTCCAGATCCCTGCAGTTCATCAACTTTGGTGACACGTATTTAAGCTCTAAAGACGTCAATTGTGGCAATTGTTTGGATATCCGTCTAAACACATGATAGTAGGTATCCCAGGCTTGGGTCAGGTCCTTGACATTGCCCTTCTCCTGAAACTTCCTGTAAATCCACAAATAGTAACACAAATAAAACAACGAAAACATATTGTAAGACATGTAAGTCATACGCACCGACACCACTCCTGAGCCTCATTGAGGTCGCGGCCGTAGGCGTGATTGAAACTCATCTCTTTGAGCGTTTGCGGTCCTCTGTCGCACATTTGGTGCAATGGATCCAAAATGTCGAACATTCCCCTCACGTTGCGTTCGCCGAAGTATAGCCGAGAGGCCTCTTCGAGCCCTTCGTGCCATAACTCGTGCCAAAGAATGGCGATTCGGATGAGCTCTTCGCTGACAAGCATCGCCTGTTGTACTAAGTTTGGTGAATGGACTTGCATTATGTCTAATATCTTTTTGGCCGACGCCTGACGTCCAGACGCCGATGCCTTCGACGCCACTGTCAGCGGGTATATCAGTGACTGCGGATGATGTTTGCCGATATCAATGAGTAACTGATGGATTAGCCGCGCAATCAATTGACGGGTTGTATCGATTCGGGCTATGAGTTGAGGGATGACCTGAAAATGCAAGCAATTTCGTAGATTCAACACTTCAATAGCAATAGTTATAACATCTAAACACTACCTGAAGCCATGTCTCAATGGGCACTGTCTTAATGCCTTCAGCGAGTGCGTCGTACACCTCCTGGTGCTGTCCTTCTTCGAACCAAATCGTGAGAATCCTGAGAGTGTCCTGAAGACTAGATCCATGAGCCAGAGATACTGATCGGAAAAATCCATGAACTGCTGGCACACAGTATTCGCGAACGTATTTTGTTTTGAGCGGTTGTAGTGAACCCACGGGAGACGAGGTGGCAGTCGTCGGTTCCGTAGGTGACTGTCCTTCTGCTGACGAGTGGAGACCCTACGGATGAAGTCATTGCATAAATGTTATGATAAGATAAGGGTATAACCGAAAACACAAACCTTGTAGAAGTTGACGGCTTCGAAGTTCATGTAAGCCCACGAATGCCACGCTTTGTACCAATTGTTATCGCGGTCAGTGGCCGCCAAATAGTACTGAAGTATTACGTTAATGGAGTTCTCATTGATTCCCTGAAGATTTTCGTGCCATTGGCCTAACTTTAGATAACAACGTGACAACAGTTTGTTTAATTCATTCCTTTGATGTATTTGTTGGCTCTCATCAGTGGTTAAGAAGTGAATGTTTTGCGGAATGAGAGCCACTTGAGTGAAGTGCGCCAATTGATTGAACGCCTCCTCCTTCTGGCCAGAGATCCATAAGTGCTCGATATATCTGAAGGTCACCATTGGGTATGTGGTGGGCAGGGGAACGCCAGTCACTAATAGATTATATAGAAAATGATTAGTGAAAACTCAAAACAACCAAACAATGAATTAATACCAAGATTTGAGGGGTCAGTGTCCATAAGTGATACCAGTGTTCGGTACGACAGCTGTAATCGACCACTCCTTTGGCAGAGTTTGGCAAACTTGAGATACGATCGCATGTCTTCGTGCGGTTGAAGCACCAGTGAGTGCACCTGTAGTATCTTCTGCCAGTCCTCCACTGCTCGCTGACAGCCCTGAAGTCGTTGCCACCATTTCTGGCAAATCATTTCGCGCCTCTCGGGAACCAATTTGTATTGAATCACTTCCTCGAGTTCGGACATCATCTGCACCTGAACCATAGGTGCGTACGCCCTGTTGTATGACTCGCCCGCCATTGTAGTCAACTCAGTGTCAATTAATTTCCTCGCTTTGTCTATAAGAGTCTGAGCTCTACTATAGTTTTGGTAATGGATCTAAAAATAAAGACAAAAAGTCAAATCAATTCTAATATCAAACTATGTCTCAAATCAATAGGCATTTCATACCTGAAGTATCGCCTGATAAAAGGCAGAGTCGGGAGTGTCTGCGGCTATGTTTTTGGTGTATTCCTCCATTTGCGGCCAATGGCCTAAACCCCAGGCGGCAGTCGATGCCATTCGGGCCATCTTCTGCTTATTCTCCTGATTCACGTCAGGGAACGACACGAGCGCTAAGTTATACAACTTATTCCATTCGGACAGCACTTCCAAACACCGCATTTGTCCCACTATTGACTCCACATCTTTAGGGTCTTTGTCTGACTTCAGTTTATACGCCTTCAGTGCGTTCTCCCAATCGTGTAGTTTCTCATACCAGCGCTCTTTCACTTCGATTTCATTGAATTGGTTTTTGTTGGCGTACTCTAAGACACCGACCGCTGCTTCCGGTTGTTGGAGCTTATTGTTGATACTAATGAGAGCGCCCAACACGTCAGTGGTCGGGCCCTTATGGAACTCCTCTTCCTTATAGTGCAATGCTTTGGCAAACGCACGACATTTGATGGCTCTCTCGGCCAATGTCTTCTCATTGAGAGGAAGGGGTCCCCTATCGACGTGTTCCATGAATTCGGCCAAATTCAACAGAATTCCAGTCACTTCGGGGATGTCCTGTTGCATCAACGCGTCTTGGATTGATTGAATCAAATCCTAATCACATACAGAATCACTTAATTCAAAGTCACCACATGTTTGTAATCATAAATGTCAGACCTGTTGGTGCTCTTCATTCAGTTCGTTCCAACAGCTAAGGAATGCCGGGTTAAACAGGTCTCTGGCCACTGAACTACACGCCTGAGCCAATGGGAAGCACGACCTGATCGCCAGTGCCGGCGATTCACGAATCAAATCAATGTTGAGTATCTTCAGCCACTCCAACCAATCCTCTTTGGACACACGTCGCGGACATTGAGTCCACGCCCTCTGCAAATCAGTCAATAAGACGGGATTCAGTTTGCGGTCCGGCACTCCTCCGATGGGGTCTTTGAATTGATTTCTCCCGCGTTTTATGTGTCTCTTGCCCGACATAATCGGGTCGTCATCCGAGTTGCCAACAGTTGATCCGTCGCTGATTTTAGTGACCAGTATATCGTACTTCTGATGACTTATTTTGTGTTTCTGCAGAACTTTGCTGACCATAGGTATGAATATCTGGTACCGACGGTTCAGCTGAAGGACAACGGCTGTCAACGTATCCATCGCTTGATTTACCAAATCCTGGGAACAAAACATTTATTTAACATAAAAATGAGTTCAATATTTAACTGATAGTAGACTCACTCTATCAGACGAATTGCTATCAATAGTCCGAACGATTGCGTGTATTATTCGCGGCGAGAGTTCCGTTATCTGTAAGTCCTCTGAGAGGACGTCAATTGTCTTGAGGGCCGCAATCTTCACGTCACTGTCCTTAATATCACTCGACTCGAAGAGTCTGACGATTGGAGGGATCAATAGATGCAAATAGTCGTCTAGATTTGTGCCAAAGCTTTGCAAAGCATCTGATAATAAGAAAAGCAAATAAAATGTCAATAACTTTAACAAAAAGACATGTATTGATAATTACTGAGCAGTTTGACAGTAACACTGCGGCGAACACTCTTGTCGTTTGCAAACACCCGGAGTATGTGAGGGATGAGATACGGCACGTATATCTTAAACTCGCCGCCGAGTGCTATAACGATCTGCTCGACGACATTGATGAGTGTTGTCTGCATCGGAGAGTTTGCGGTCCAGAACTCGCGCACCACTCGGAAGATGTCCTCCAAATAGTTCCGGATATGAATTTTGACGATAGCTATCATTTGTCCCAATTGTTGCAAAAGGAACTATACATTCAATTCACACAATTAACTCAATTGCATAGGAATTGCAGACAATGCAAAAGCAAATACTTCTCTGATATGCGGTTCACCCGTACGGATGATATTAATAAAAGGCGGCAAAACGTGTTGAATGTATGGCACAGACCGCACGCCTAACACATTGAAAATGAAGGCGACCGCCTGTACAGCCATAGTGTGGTGACCGCTGAGCGCCTGATCTCTCATTACACGCATTAATGTGGAGATAGCCTGCGCTGAGTAGAAGTCATCGAAAGTGGACGCAAGATTGGACAGCATCTCGTGTGCATTGAATTCTATGAATAGTTTCATTACTTAATAAATAGCTACAGAATAAGCAACAAAAAGCCGCCAAACCTTGATCTATGATAGGGTCGTGCGCTATGAGCGGATCACCCGATTGGTCAATGACTCCCAAATTGACTTTATGCCGATAGGGATCGACAGCACCGATGAGTCCCAACACACGTATGGTCTCGCGTCGGATCAGTTGTGAGCTTTGAGTCGATTCAGACTTTAATAAATTGAATAAAATATCCAAAAGGTTGGGGTATTTCCAATAGGGCTCCACCACATAACCAGAGTTCTCGACCAAACGGCCTAACGTCCAGAGCGCGACCTCACGCTTCTGGTGGGACGACGAGTCTTGAATGGCGTCCAAAATGATGGGAAACAACTCGTCGATCCATTTCTTCATTTCAGTGCCGCTCACTATCGCCTGCTCGCCGATAGCGCTGAGCACTGCTGTGACCACCGACTGAGACGGGTCTTTGAGTTTTGGCAGAAATACTTTAAGTATGGGTTCAGTGTATGGTCTGATTAGTCGCGGGGTTGTGGCCAACAAGTGGCCCAACATCTTAGCGCTTTGCTCTTTGTTTCGACAAATGCCAGAGTATTCTAATTCGGTTAACAATTGAAGCAAAACCTTTCGCAGCGATGGCATGACATACGCGGGGTTTAGACTACTGAGTCGTCCGATCGTACATAAGCCCAGTTCCCTGATCTCAAACACCTCGTCGTTTAGACATATAAACAGTGCGTTCAGGTTCTCCGCCTGAGCCAAATGCATGTCAAACCGCTCATCAAGACTTGATAGCACTGAATAGCGGACATACATATCGGCGTCAGTTATGCCTATAATCAGTAATTTACTCAAAACATCCTGAATAGTAATGACAAGAGTTTGCGAATGCTTTGACTGCTCTTTCATGAGCGCCGGCGTTAGTAATTGACAACACGTGCGGACCGCTTCGAGTCTCACTTCTCGGTTCTCATCCGTAAGATAAGTGTCGGCGCAGTGGCGGACAAATTGCATAAGAGGTCGGGGCTCGAAGTCGAACTGACCCAACACTTTGAGCGCTAAGATTGTTGTCTGAACGTCGACGGGCTCGCAGTTTAAGGACATGGAGCTGAGCTGCAAATGTTTGGGTACTCCAGGCAATGTATACGCCTTTTTCATAAGTATCTGACTCAACATCTTGAGCAGTCCGTCCTGAATGTCCTTTTTGAGGGCTGGAATGTATTTGCATATCTCGTGCAGCGCTGCGGCCAACGCTTCCGATAGTCCCGTCGAAAACATTGAGTCCAATAAGTCTTTGACTTCAGTTTGTATATCATTACCAAACGCTTGACATAACAGCGCCAGACATGTGAACACCGTTGGGTCGGGTTGTGGCAGACGTTTCTTAGGCTGATGTTCTTTCGACGGCAGTGTTTGGCGTATTGTTAGCAATATTGGCTGCAAATGGTTCTTTCTTATGGTACCACCCATCACAGGGTTCATGGCAATTGTCAATAGACCTAAAAATCATTATTCAATTCATTAAAGTGTTGTCAATAGACCTAAAAATCATTATTCAATTCATTCAAGTGTTTCATGTAAATGCCGACAAATACCTAAAGAGATGAATGCGAGGGAACGGGAGGGCGACACCCGAAGGTTGTTCAGCAAGTAGTCGATGGACTGCCGACTATATCTGACAAACTTTTCGGGATTCAAAGCGGCCAGACTTGGAATGACTATTAAAATCACGTGAATTATATTCTGTGAGTTTCTGTACTGCAATTGATTCATAACATGTTTGCATATTTCGTCAAATTTCTCTAACAACAACTCCCGACACGTTTGACTCAGCTTTGGGGGTCGGTATCTGTCGGACAAATACATGGCATTAGTATAACCGGTAAATACATTGAAAATTAAAGGACATACTTGTGCTGCGAAGAGGGGATGAGTGCGATTCCCATCTCTTTGTGATACTTGACAACAGAATTCAAATCTCGTAAACCATACGAAGGGACGGTTGGTTGCGATTGAATATTCGTATGACTTCTGAATAGTTTCGACAATTGACTCGTTTTGAGATTATTTTGACTTTCAATTATTTGATTGTATTTATGCTCTAATTCGCGGTCAATCGTATCGCCTGTTCCGCAGATTAAGACAAATTCATTACTCAAACATTCAATTGTCTTAAACTATAGATCAATACCGGAATCGTTAGAACAGCGAAGAATCTCATTGAGGATGAGAAGGGAGGCGTGTATTTGGTCCTCCCTTTCCCTCTGAGTGCTGTTGAAGCCTTTAATCACTTCTTCATAGCAGGTCTTAAAGAAATTAGGGATCTGTTGATCACTTCGCGGTCTGTTATCTCTGACATCATGTGATATGCGCTCTCTGTCTGCGACCACATATAGCGCCGATCGCAGGGCAGAGACCGCGGAGTCACGGATTTTGGGGTCATTTATGGCCAGAAATATATTCTCGAAGAATAGGGTCACGTGACTGAAGAAGTAGGTCGGCGTCACGTTCGCCAACTCCCGAAGATTGAGCACCTGTTGGGTGAATGCAAACAAAACCCAATGAAACTACACCTTAATTACCAAAACAATCGCTTCGTTACCGCTGTGTGTCGTTTGGTCTCATTCTTGTCGGTGGAGATGAGTTCAATGGCGCGCCTGACCTCGAAGTCCACGAAATTGGAGGTCACGGCACCGGACGTGATGGCAATCTTGCCGACAGCACAGGCCGAGAGGTCCAAGAGCTCCATATCGGAGAAGTTGTGGTTCAGGTTCCGCAAGTGGTTGGCAAAGGGGGCGTAAATGACTTGTTTGGCTGAGTCCAGAAGAATGCACATCAAGAATATACCGGCTTTGATGTCATTGGCATTGTTAGCACCGGAACCGATCATGAGGTCAAAGATCTTGTTTATCGACAGGTCGTAGAAAGTCTTCATCTCCTCGTCGGTCACGTCCGCCATATCCTGATTGATGTATTGCCGCAACCAATGGATCCCTTTCTTCCTCCGCATATCATCTCTCGATCGGAGTTCAGTCAACGCGCCGGTGATTATCGCCTCAAAGGGACAGTCGGCCGACGAGTCCAGACGGCTGTCCAGTCGCACGACCGGCAGTACACTCTTCGACGACATCCTCGGCAGTCGTTCAGTGGATTAGACGCCAACAGACAACGTGTCGATCGGATTACACACAATGGGATCAAATGAGACCACAAACCATCACTTGATTGTGAAGTCAATTGTTTGTGAATCCGTTGTTAACTCGCATTTCAATTGCAATTTCATATCAAAAATACATTTTTCATTGAAATTGTAAACAAAGTGTAAACAAAACTATTTGCCATTAATTACGTCCATTCACTCCATTCAACTCAACTGCAAACCACACAAATGGACACATTTTTCAACTTTTCATTATTTTAACATTTTAGTTATCATTTACTGTGAATTTTGTTTGTTTCAAAACACATTCACATAGAAATAGCAGTTAACCATAAAATGCAAAGTAATCTCAATTTAATTTTGTTTTCAACAAAAATCTGACGGAAAACTTATGTTTGTATTTCAAACACAAGTGTTTTCTCACATTTCAAGACCAGTGTTAGTGTTATCATCGGATACAGTGGTAGTGAAGTGCAGTGCGATTCACACCTTAAGTGCAATGCCTTACAATCTTCTCATAACTTGCCTGCAATACACCGCTTGCATAGCAGCCAATGGATAGCCTCGCAAATAGCATAACATAAAAGTTTGACAGTGAAATCACCACATGAGTAAAGCTGGTAACAGTGGTAATGGGCACTGAATCCACCTGTCTATGCATATTATTGCATAACATGTCATAATTGATGTGTTGATACATTTAAAGTGCATTTGAAATGCCATTGAAAACACTGAATACACGGCACTCTATGCACAGTCTAATAGTGCCATCAATTTATGGTAATTTGCAAACTATTTACTTATTTGTGATTATATTCAATTAAATTGCAATCAAATACACGTTTGAATTGACTTTTCAGTGCGAGAGTCACGCTGTGAGCGAGTGTTCAGCCATTTGAGTGATACGCGAGTGATGTCTACACGCGAGTCAACCACTGGTTTATGGGATTTGCAGTGATTTCACAGATTATATGATTTAGTAATTTATGAAACGTTTCTATTATTTTAAAATTAAACTCAAATTTCGCATCACTTTTGACCAAATATTTGGCAAACATTGTCCACAAGACGTGCCATCATTGGCGACCATTTGACAACAAAAGCTCGAAAAGTATTATCAAAGAAAAGCTGAAGAAGTGTCCGAAGAAATCGATTTGTGTGCCAATCAGTGGGTCTCTAATCGTGGGTCGAGTGGTGTGTCTGGAGGTGTGCGCGAGTGGTGTCTGCAGTAGTGATGCCGATGGGATGGCTGGATCGGTGTCACCACTATGTGGTCGCATTGAGACCCTGGTCTTTCTCGGCCTCACTCACACCGGTGCTGTTGGGCGCTGTGTTGGCCTACAAGACGTCGGGCGACTTCTCATTGGCGACACTGATGGCAACCCTGGTCACTGTGGTCAGTGTGCACGCGGCCGGCAATCTGGTCAACACGTACTACGACTTCATGCGTGGCATTGACTCCAGACAGCGATCAGACGATCGCACGTTAGTTGACTCCATACTGACGCCCGAAGAGGTCGGCAACTTAGGTATGACATGACATGACATGACAAGCCCTCCACTCACAGCTCACTCACTCGGTGTCTGTGCTCCCGGTGCCCAATAGGTGTCATATTCTACATAATCGGATGCATTGGGTTCGTTGTGGTAGTGTTCGTGAGTCCGGCGCGTATGGAACTGCTGGCTCTGGTATACTTCGGGGGTATCTCTTCATCGTTTCTCTACACCGGAGGAATTGGTCTCAAATACATAGCATTAGGAGATGTCATTATTATCGTAACCTTCGGACCGGTAGCTGTTCTCTACTCCTTCATCGCACAAACGGGTAATTCATAGCACTCTTAGTGTCCAAACAATCACTCAATGATACGCTTGTGTCCGATGACAGGAACCATAGATCTAATCACTTTGATATACGCCATACCTCTGGCCCTCAACACGGAAGCGATTCTCCACTCAAACAATACCCGTGACATAGAGTCCGACCGGAGGGCCGGTTGCGTGACTCTGGCGGTGCTGATCGGGAAGTCGGCGTCACACGTGTTGTTCGCGTTACTCCTATTCATACCGTATATACTGTTTTGTGTCATAAGTATCCGTTACTCTCTATGGCTGTTACTGCCATTGATTACAATCCTGAGGGCATTCGAGTTGGAGAAGCAGTTCCGGAGCGGAAATCTGCGACAATTGCCGCGACTTATGGCCAAACTTAACCTCTATTTCGGTATTTTCTATTTGATTGCCTGCTGTCTCTCCAGTCCTAAACAGTTGCCGGGAATTAATAGTGTCATCGATTGACACATTCATCGAAAGTTATAATTAATTATTTATAACATTATTAAGACATTTAAATTATTTCCACATTTATTCTCTCCTCTCTAACTACGAAATGAAGTGTTTTTTAAATGAAATCGTTTTTAAGAAGTTTTGCATATTTTGTATTTTTAGTCTATTTTTTATGAAAATAAATGTTTTGATGACAAAGTGTTGAGACAATTGACAATTGATTTGTTTGGTTTGAGACTCTATCTCAGAAAACGGAAAACTTTTATTATTATTATTATTAAATTCACTCAATTATAGTATCAGAGGTAAAATGAGAGCAAAAGTTATGTTCATATATTGTTTTGGTTTTTGATTTGTTTTGTTTGAATAGAATAAGTATTTTGTTTTTTAAATAAGTTATCAATCAATACATTAAATATACTGTATTTATAACTGTTTTGTTGCTGTCATATGTTTTCTTATGTTACAAATTCATTGTTTTTTAGTTTGTTTTCACTTCAATCAAATGAGTAATAATTTTCGTCATAGCTTTTTATAATACAATAAATAAATTGTCAGATAATGGTATCTCTAATTTCATAATCACTTGTTAAACAATATATTAATTTCCGGATGAGATTCAGAAATATAATGCGATAGTGTTTTGTTGTCAGATATAATGGTTTTGTATCTTTTCATCGTATCGTATGTTACATAATGTTATGCTTTGGCGGAGTTGTGGTTGTTGTGGAGAATAGTTCTCTCCTTATAGTAGATCTCTTCGGTCTCTTTGTCACAAACCAACAGAAGTATAGCTCCCACGAGGAATATGGCTGAACCCCAGCCCACGCCGTACGCCCACCCGAAGTACCAGATGGGCCGGTTAGCTGGCACTAAGTCTGAGTGATGCAACTCGTTATAGAAAAAGGCCGGATATAATGTCAGCGCCACTATCACTGCCAGTACTGTCAC